ATCAACAATAACAAAAGTAAGAAAAGAGAGATAAATTTTATTGTTAATCACAAGTCTATTAAACATTTTTCCCGTTGCAGGAAAGGAGAACTGTAAGTTTAGGACTGTTGTTCAAAAATCATAACAGGCTGTAAGTTCTCCCAGTATCACAAAAAAACTAAGAGCACTTGCATGCAGTTTGGTTGATTTTTTTACCAAGAGAAACAATCCACCTCCCAGTTCAGAACTGGGCTGACTGCTCCTTTGTCCCAGACAAAATGAAATAAGAATTCACGTATAATTCAGTTGATTTTGCTACATTGAGACAAAAATGTAACCAGTTAAAACATGAATTGTCTTTTTACTTTCAGCAACTCAGTTCACAATGGCCCGGGAAATAGGAAGCAGACAAGCAGAGTACATGACCTTTCTCCAGAAAGGCAGATTAAATGCACTTTTGTAGAGTTGGAAGTGATGGGGGTTATTTAATTTCTCCAACCTTCCACTGCCTTCAAACCCATTTCTTGAAAAAATATTTGTTGGGCATTCCAGATGTTATTTATTCCCTCAGACCTCATCTTCTTACCTGGAATTTCTACAGATTTGTATGAGATCATTTTATCAGCAGCACAGAACTAAGATCTAACAACTGTTGTAAACACTAAGCAAGCATATTGCAGTGATGTTCAAAGAAAAAAACATTTTTTTTTAAATTTTAAGGACATTGTTTAAAACAGCAAGAGCAACCCCATCAACAGAGGAAGGGAGGAGAGTGGGATTTAGAAGCATTTAGAATGCAAGGATACCAGTACTGAAGAAACTAGATTTAGAAGAAAAAATACAGAAAAATAACTGATTTTTGAAAGATGGGAGCAAATAGCACTGTAGCTATATAGTACCTTCATCCAGAAGAATTTTAAAGTAGGAAAGGACTCTACACTATAGTTAAGATGCCAGTCAAGGATCATATGTGCATGGAAACAAGATTTGCCCATAAAGTACTCACGTAATCAAATTCAACTATTCCAAAGTTTCCTACGAGTATTTCTCCTGACAGGCAATTTTTTCCTCAGCTGAAGCGTATCCTATTCTCAGGACTCTGAGGAACCTCCACTACCTTCAAGGCAGGGTTGATTGAAATTCCACAGTTCTTAACATAAACAGCAGTAAATATTTGAATCCATTTGCAAAGCACCAACTCTCTTTGGCCTCCAATCTAATATTTGATGGACAGGTGGTGCCAAGCAATTGGACAAGAGGCAGCAGGCAGAAACCAAATCATGGGAATTCCACTAGAATATAAGTGGAATTCCTTGCTGTGCAAGTAACCAAGCACTGAAACAGGTTGGCCAGTGAGGTTTTCCAGTCTCTTCCTGCTCCGGAGATATTGGAAAGCCATCTGGACACAAGCCCAAGTAATGTTCTCTAAGGGAGTCCTCAATGAGATGACATCCTGTGGTCCCTTCAACTTTACCTATATCCAATCTAAAACAAGAGTTCAATTGGAAAGCCATCTGGACACAAGCCCAAGTAATGTTCTCTAAGGGAGCCGGCATGAGATGACATCCTGTGGTCCCTTAAATCTTACCTATATCCAACCTAAAACAAGAGCTCCATCCCCATTTCCAGAGATGGGCAAGAAATGCAAACCTGATCTAAGGTGTGGAGCTAAATCTGAAATAAGACCACAATTTTTGTTCATTTCCTTCCCTAGAACTGTAACTGTGTAAACGTGTTTTAGAAAAACTACTTTAGCTAAAAGCGTAGTATGTTCAGTAAAAATCTTGCACCTTATTCAGAGCACAACAAATCTCTCAAAATTCCTTGGCATCATTCCAACCTTTGTCACAGAAGTGTTTACAAAGTCTCTTTGCATACAAAAAGGTGTCTGAAAATAATATTAAATTTCAAATTAAAGAATTGCACGTACAGAATTTTATCAGAGAAATGATATTATAGTTGAGTGATATGTGCTAGGGAAAAAACCTAACAGATACAGCTTTGGGTATTAAAAAATATTTTGGAGAGGTTTGTCTCCAAAATATAGTTCAATTTGTTTTAAATTTTATTTTGTACAGCTGGAAAGCTGTTTATTTATCGCCAAAATTTCAATTTCTAAGGAGCTCAACTCAGAATTCCGAATCAATAGCAAGAAGCGAAACTACTGTTACTTAGGTCTTAGTTCAAGAAGCAGCAAGTTAACAAAATTTTAGTTTGTAAAAGGGCTGAGACAAACGTAAGAAAGACTTACAAATCCGTGGGCTCTCCTCGGGCCAGCTTCTCAGCACAGGCATAGGCGCCTTTGTGCAGCCAGCAGTAGGTGTCCACAGCTACCGCCATTCCTTTGTATTTCTTCACGTGGGAAGGCTCGCCAGCCTCCTTGATGAACTGCAGCAGGCCCTGGATGCCCATGATGCCGCAGAGCGGAGAAGCAAAGAAAGCAGCGAGCACAAGCCGAGCGCTCGGTGCCCTCGATGGCCACCCCCGCCTCCTCCAGGACCGCCGGGCCAGCTCACACTCGGGGCGCTGGGCCGCGCCACGAGCCCCTGCGCCTGCCCCCACGCATCCCGGCCCGGCGCGCGTCCCCACGGCGGTGGCGGCTGTACCTCGTTGCAGGTGGGCGCTGCCCGGAGAGGGGGCGAGAGAAGGACAGAGGGACGCGGGAACGCTGCCCGGCCCCGCCGGAGCAGCCGCGCTTCCTCCGGCCCGGCCCGGCCCGGCCCAGCCGCAGCGCGCGCCGCTGCCGGGGCTTTCAAGCAGCGCGCGCTGAGCGCGGTGGCCCCGCCCCGCGCGCGGGGACTACGATCCCCATGGTGCCTCGCGCGGGCGGGGCGGCGCATGTGTGCCGCAATTCCTGGCGGCATTCCTTCTTCACGGCAGGCGTGCGGCGGACGGGGCTTGCGTATAACCACCAGAAGGTGACACTTCTAAGCATTAAATACGCAGAACTCAAAAGGCCCCGCAGAGTTTTAACAGGACAGTGGACTGTAGCCGACGCCGTGAGAGGGGAGGGGAAGGGAGGGGCTGAGGCGGGTCACCGCCTGCCAGGCTGAAACCCCGGTTAGTGTAAGAAGGGATGGCCGAAGTTACAATTATGCGTACAGGTCCTTTTTCTTGTCAGTTACCGTGAGGTTTGCTTGCATAAATAAAAGCAAAACTTGCAGTAAGATGTAAATGTAGGCCAATATCTAGCAGATAGGAGTTTGTTTTCCCACATGGCACTTGGAAGCCCGGACAGTTCTTGGCTACTTTGACTCGGTGAGGTGGATGACAGTCAGCAGTGTAGAAAGCAATGTTTCCAGACAGTGGGCAGCAAAGTTTAAATTCAGTTCTGGAAAGAGCACATCTGAAATACAGTTTCTCAGCTAAGAAATGCATATAAATAACTTGGTCACAGTGATAGCATAAGACGTTTTAATGTTGAAAATATTGATTGAATTCTGCTTTGCCAATTCTTTTTTCACTCCACAATTCTGACTACATATGCCACACTCCACAAGTCTGAAATCCAATTGCAGTTAGAATCCATTTGGAGTAGGTTCACTTCTCTTAAGAATATGTTCTTCTATCAATTCTGACATTTCTTTTTCTGTCAAACCGCTGTGCTCATGGGAAGAACAGTAATCAGAGTAGACAACGTAATGTACCAATATCATTCAAAATCTTACGTGCAATTCAATTAAAAATAATAGTTAAAAATAGGCCTGAGGTGAACCTCAGAGTCAGAAGCACTGGAGCCAATGAAGTGTTCTTCAAGGAAGCCAGAGCTACAAAACTCTTGCCCAGCTCAGATTGTCCTTTTCAATTTCTTCACCTGAGAGGATGGGTACTTTGGAATTCAAGAGTTAGCACAACATGCCTTAACATTCAGTCAAATGTCTTCAGCCATGTATGAGCCAGTGTGACCCACCTTCAGGACATCTCATAACTTCTATAAAATAACAGGAGCTTGATACCATGAGTCAAGGGCTTTGTTGGTTTCAGTAGAGCTATCTTGACATAAAACTGGCTAAAGATACTGATCTTTAAGTTCAACAGTGTCTCTTGGAAGAAAGTAGTCAGATGGTAACATTTGGGTGAGTTATTCCCTGGAAGAATACTGTAGTATTGCAGTTTTATTTCCCATAGGTACCAGATGAAACAGGGAAGCAGCACTGCATTACGGTTAGTTGACTTGTAGTAATAGAGAGAATTTTTTTCTTTCACAAGTAGCTCAAGTAGCTCATGTATCAAGAGAATTGGTTAGACTAGAAATTACTGTGCCAAGTCTCTGGTGTGTATTTTTCTCTTTCCTTGAGCAGTTTTGTAATAGTGACTGGCAGAATGCATTTTAAAGAGATCTTGAAGTAGAAAGTATAGCAGAAACATTTTGTTTTCTTTGCAACTGTTTTCTGTCATGTAATAAAAAAAAGAAGAGCCATTCTGAGTATAGCCCTGTTGACCCCTAATAGAAATTTGAGATAGGTGCCCAAGATTAAAACACCAAAGTACCTCTAGAACTGCTTCTTTCTCAACACAGCTCTCCTAAAGAGGAAATGGAATCACTGTAAACATCTAGCCTTTACATAGAGAAGTAAAGCAAAATTAAATTTGTGCCCACTACAATGGGCAAGGACATCTTCCAGATTTTTACTGAACTTCCTTCCATGCACTTCCTGGCACAGCTGGAAGTGTCTTCATGCAGAAGATTAAAATCCTTGGAATGAAAACTGGTACTTTGCTGAAGCTTACAATCAGACCATCAGCTTTAGAGATATTAACAGACTGTCTGGTTTACAATAATTTTTCCAAAATTTCAGTGAATTTCTTATTACTGCTACTGTATTGTTTTCACTGCTTAAGAAGTTGATTACTTTTATCTCAAAAAGTTGGTTTGGAAGTTAATTGGACTATTTAATCAATTTCTTAGAAAAGAAATTTGATTTTTCTCTGACAGGTGGCAGCATTACATTCATTGCATCCTTTATCTCTCTTTTATTGAAATTTCTATTATTGGACTATATATTTTCACAGCTTTTTTTAGCCAAACTTTAATACCACTAGCAAATTCATGAACAGTTCTACATACTTGAGAGAAGTTTAGGGGATGACATCCTTAAACTATCTTTAGTAGCAGAGGAGATGTTTTTAAAAGCTCCTCATATATCAGGAAAATATTATATGAATAGTGTTCATAATGTTATTAAAAACCTATATTTTCTAGTTAACATAGTTTTGTTATGGGCATCTGCTGGTTGTGTTAGCTTAGTAACTATTCTGAACTTAAGCCTGGCTGCGCTGCTTGCGGCAAGTTTTTTTTGTCTGGAAGCACAATGTCAGTATAGAGAACAAAAGCATGCTAAACTCTAGTATCCCAATGCATTTTTTTCCCCTTGTGATCTGTCGTGGTGGAATCACACACGCGGGTGCTGCTGAAGCCTCTGCTCCTTGCGGCTGCGTGGCTCAGCCTGGCCCCTAGAGGCTTCCTGGGACACAGCCTCGCCTGCAGCCGAGGGCAAGGGGCACTTCAGTTTCGCTTTCGGAGCCGCACAGGCAGGAAAACTCTCTTAATTTGTAGGTATATCTTCAAACAAGTCCTGCAGTCATTACTACCACTTTCAATTACTCTTGGTTTGTTTTTTTTTTCTTTTTGACTTCACAATAATCAGGTGCCTCCAGACTCTCCAAGTCTGTCCAGAACTTGAGCTGTGCCAAGGTGACTTTCTTCAGTTTGGGAATTACACAGAGCTCTCTCTCCATATATCACTAAGGCATGATCTAGTAGCATTAACAGCTTGATTCAATAATTAACAAGAAACTGCAAAACGACGAGGGAACTGCTGCTGATAAGCACAAACAGCTCGGCATGCTGTGGGAAGGGAGCGGCTGTGTCGTGGCATTTAAAGAGAGCCTGAGACACTCCAGTCCTCCTGGGGCAGGTGAGCAGCCTCTGGGGAATTGTTGCTGTCCATTTATTTAACTTGGTGCTGGACCCCCTGCACCTCAGGTAAGCTATTCCTAGACTTACAAACTCTGCATATGTAGTTTATTTTTCTGAGAAAAGGGATTTTGAATAATGTTTGACAGCATTCCTTTCCTTAGTGCTTCTGGTAGCACGCAGTGAAGTAGCAGGTGAGTGTCTGTGTTTCAGGGAAGTCTGCAGAAACATGAACCATACAGGGCCTTGCTTAAAATCTTGTTTTAAGACAGTAGCTCAACTAAAATGACCTTTTAAATGAAAGCTTAAAATGGAGCAAAAAATTTCTTTTGTCATAAACAGGAAAACTGTAGCTGAGATTCTCAGAGATCTGATTCCAGCTCATGGACTTTATGGGACTTTCAGCCCAGAAAGAAGAGCAGAAGATAGATGTTTATTTTTCAGGTACAGGCTCCTCAGTGTGCAGTGCAGTGAGCAGGAGAAATTGTCTCTAAAAATGCAGCAGTACTCCCTCATAGAGGAAAAGAATATTTTGTTGAGTTATTGGGGTGAAGTTGCCCTCTCCCTTTCTTAGAGTGGGCAGCTGATGGCAGGTGCTTCCACAGTGCTCACTGCCCTCTCAGTATTACTGGCTGCTCTCATACATAGTCTCAGGCCAGAAGTTGGGGATAGATTCGTGCTGATCTTCTTTCTTACTCTCATCTTTCTCTGTCCTCTTATGCTCTGTATTTCTGCAGGTGCTGTAATGATAAGGACAGCACCAGACAACAGGGTACCCTGATTCATCTGCAGATGCATGTGGCTATATACTCCTCATCTGGCCTTTACTGAGGAGGTTTTTTTACTCCTGGAAGTGAAAAGTATCCATTTTTATACTGATTGCACTGATTTTACGCAGATGCATGTGGCTATATACTCCTCATCTGGCCTTTACTGAGGAGGTTTTTTTTTTCACTCCTAGAAGTGAAAAGTATCCATTTTTATTCTGATTGCACTGATTTTACTGTGGTTCATGTTACAGCCACTAGATACAGTTACACTCAAGACACTGATTTTGCTAGAGATATCTTCAAACCAGAAAGACCTGTCAGCACCTTGTTAAATTCCAGCTTTCCAAAAAATGGCATAATTAGTGAGGGCTTTAAAATATCTTTGGTCACTTGAAGAGAATGGAGACTTGCAAACTAAAGAGAACAGGGTCACTACTTAATGCACTCACCAGTACCTATCTATAAAGGTCTTAAAGTAACTCAGTCTGGAGCACAGAGAGCTTGGTAGCAATGAATTTTTATCAGTCTCATTACTTTACACAAGCCTGGTAATACAAGTGCTGGTCTGGACTGACATAGCCTCTAGTTTATATAACCACATTGATAATACATAGATATTTCACACAGGTCAATGACATACAGGTGTTTTATCAGATTCTGTTAGAATTTTCTTACATTTCAGAGATGAAAAAAGAGAGGCTTTGATGCAAAAAAAAAAAAAAATCAGATATTTTGCTGGGATGATTCTCTGGAATCAGATAGGGTGATCAAATGTTGTTTGTGCTTTCTAGGGAAATGGGGGAGGCCCAGTAGCCTGCCATTTCCCTTGCATCTGTTACATCTAGCCATACTAAGTCCCCTGTTAATTTCTGTTTCTCATATAAGTGTTCTTCTTTGTGGTACATGGAATAAAACTAAAATAGGTTAATCATTAACTAATTATGCCAGTAGCAGCTGAACAGTCTCATGTGTTCCCAACTGAAAGTAATCTAGAGTCTGTGTTTTTCTTTTTTGTAGGTACTGATATATTCCATATTGCTGAGTCTTCCAGCAGCAAATGAAAAACATGTATTTATTACTCCTTTCCATTTTACCTTTGCTTTTGAAAGTCACTGGCACCAAAGATGTTATATTTGGTCATAATAATTTCACAGAATATCAAGTGGGCAACATGAACCTCATTCTCTCTGTCCCACATGGTGGGTCAATGGAACCTAAAGACATCCCTGATCGAGAGGCTGCCTGTTGGGATGTGAAGACATCCTCTTGTATTTTCTCTCATGACTGTCCTCCTGGAAGTATTCAAAATGCTATGAAATGCAAAGTGTCTACCAACCAAGATAGGTATACCATAGAGGTGGCTCAGGCTCTTGCTGAAGAGATCAACAAAATTACTGATGGCTTCTTCCCACATATCATCATAAACCACCTACAGAGGTTCAAGATGGATGCTAACAGGGAAAAGGAAGAAGCCTCCTTTGGAATTCCCCTAGCAGAACAGGCCTGGGAGGACTATATGGGATTTTTGACCACTGCAAAATCACAAATGTCAGGGGGCCTAATTCTGGATATCCACGGACAAGCACATCCTGAAAGGTGGATAGAAATAGGTTACACACTTTCAAAAAATTCCCTTAACTCAGGTGTCTTTTCTGCATCAAATTCCTCAATTAGCCATCTGGCCAGTCAGCTGGTCAATGTGTCTTCTGAGGCTCTGGTTGCAGGGAACAGAAGTTTGGGTAAATATATTGAAGGACAAAATAAGAGTTATGTTTGTGTGCCTTCTCCATCCAATCCTAGCCCAAATAACGGAAGCTATTATAGTGGTGGGTACATAACAAAGACTTTCGGTTCCCGTAGTTCTGGCACCATTGATGCCATTCAGCTTGAACTGCCCCAGTGGGTCAGGGCAGCTGAAGAGCGTCACAGATTTTGTAAAGCACTGGCAAGGGCTGTAATGAAATTCTGGCAAACTAACTACTGCAGCCAGCAAAATCACAAACTTCTGCCATGCTAAAGAGGCTGTCCTGTTATGATACCTTTCCTTAATAGAGTAGTGATCTGGAACAATCGAAAAACTCATTCACCTGGAACATTTAAGTGCGATATAATTGTGGATGCTGGTAGAAAGAAACCATCCTGCAAAGGAATGCATCAACATAGAGGAAATCCACAGATAATACCAAAAAATCCAACCCAAAAATTAACACACACCTTTGTACTAGACCCAGCATTGAAATGATTGCTGTAAGATGAGTGGGTGCAAGCATCACTTGCCTGTGCTTTATTTCTTTCCAGTCTCATGATAAGCAACAAATCTTCTTCTAATAAATTTGCAATGCTTTAGTGGATTATCTGTTCAAAGAAATAAAATGTCTCTGCTTTTCTTTTGACACTTAAGAAAGACATTTGGGTAATATCATTGTATAAAATGTTTGGGGTAAGGACCAGTTTGCATGTGGTGCTTATAATAAAGCCCTAGGGTTTGGAAGTAAACAGTAATGCTGGGCAATAACATGCAGTCTGATCTACCCCAGGTTTTTTTTAATGTAATGAATTAGGAAAAAAAGGTCTGATAGCACTTATAGCACTCTAACTTTGTCACACTTTAAATAGCACAGCAGTAAGGTTGACTGGGTGGAAGGCTGATAAAGATAGCACACACACATCATGCCTTTTTGACAGTTTTCGTTACGCAATGATTCCCTCCTGAGAGTGTGCATTATTTTGCTCACTGTAGCATTAAACACTTAATTTTTTCTGTGAATACTGTTACATTATGGATAGTTTCTGCACAGTGGAGAATATAATGGCATGAATAGCCACCACTACAAGTCAACTCCTAGAGAACACAGGCAATTAACAAAGAAAACTGAGCGGAGAAGGAAACAAGACTGAAAAGGGTACCATTTGAAAATTAAGAACCTATGAAATCCTAGCACTGCTAAAAGTTTGGTAAGAAGAAAATATTAAGTAAATAGTCAGTTTTGAGGAAGTAAATAGTTAATAAACTGAAGAGAAGTGGGATATCTGCATCTTGCAACAACAGTAAAATAATTTAGGCCGATTATTAGGGAAAATTCCAAACACAAAATATTAATTACGTATGATAAAACATACCACATACAAGCATCCTGAACTGTGCATTTTTAATAGTCTTTGAAGACTAGGCCATTTTAGGTAACTGAAAGAGACTTTTTGTAGCTTTCAAAATGATACAGGACTCAGAATTGCAAGAATGTTACCTTTCATATCCTAACTGCTAAATCATGGATGAGAGGAAGTGAACACAAGTAGTAAATGGCAGATGGCACTTTATTTGGTGCCACTTGGTTTGTCAGACAAGTCTGATTTTAGTTCTGATCACAAGGTTGGCTAATGTGGTGGGCTGACCCTGGCAGACACCGACTGCCTGCCCAGTTTCTTGCTTGCTTCCTTACTTCTCCCAGTGGGATGGAGAAGAGATGTGGAAGAGCAGAAGTGAGAACATTCTTGGGCCACAATGAAGACAGCTTAATAGGTGAAGCAAAGCTGCATGTGCAAGCAAAGCAAAACAAGTAATTTAAGTACTGCTTACCACCAGTAGGCAGATGTTTGTTTAGCCACTTCCTGGGAAACAGGGCCTCAGCACACATAATGGGAAGACAGCTTGTGATGACAAAACACTATAACTATGAACATCTTAGTTCCCTCCCCCATTCCATGAAGATGTTTTATGGTATGGGCTGTCCCGGGTGTGTACCTTCCCAGCTCACTCACTGGGTGTGGGAAAAAAAGCACCTTCCTGTTGTGCTGGCATTGCTCAGCAATAGCCAAAACACTGGTGTGTTATCAACACTTTTATTTACTAATCCAGGACACAGCACTGTACAGGCTGCTATGGAGGAAATTACATTAATCCCTGCCAGATCTGGTACACTGATCATAAGAATTTTAAATATACTCCTACAAGATATTTTGCAGCTACCCTTCAATCCATCATAGCCTTGTAACAAGTTGAAGGCAGGTAAATAATTGCAAGTCATTGTATATTCAGTTCAAGAGAAGAATGTCTTTTCAAGAAGGCCAGCAGATCAAACAGCATTCAATATCAGTGATATAGAAAACCTCCTATTTCCCCCAAAATAGTAGGTAATAATATCATTAGTTATATGCATTATCACTAGTTATATGCATTATTATATGCATATGTAATTACCTTTTTTCTCACTAAGGTGAGACACTTGGCACCATTTGTATGCTTAACCAAAGGATGAAAATGTGTTCTGTGCTCTGTGACATGTTGTGACATCGTCCTGGAATGCTGAAATGCAAGAAAAGATTTGAAGAATCATGATGCATAATTAATTGAATATGAGTTCAGCAGTCACTTTTCTGGCTTACAGGATGAACACACTCTTTGAAAGCATAAGCAAGGAACGAACAGGCAGAAACAGCAGGGCATATTAACTCTTTGTTGACTTTATGATTAATCTGGCAAGAAAAAAAGCAGTGTAATATTCATTATTCAGAAGTTCAACTGGACAAATTGAAGCAGAGAGGAAAACAGTGGTTTTGATATAGAGTAACTGTCAGCAAATATACATTAAGTCAAATGGGCTTTTCAATATCTATTTATAATCATACACTGTCTTTACTGGAATTTATTCCTTGTGTGAAGGACTGGAATAAAAGTGAAGATCTGTTTTCTATATGTTCTACTCAATAACGAAATAGATTTAAATGTAATTGAAAAGAAAAACAAAGAAAAAATAACAAAATAAATCTGCTAATCCACTTAAATGAAGAAACGAAACTACATTTATTTATTTATTTGTCTTTACTCAAGTCTTCATTGGAATCTAGATCCTTTTCCCGTCCCTTATGACTGGACTTCTCAGCTTTGATCCTTTGAAGACCTTTAAAAAATTTCAAAAACTAATTAACATACTAAGGTGAATAGACCAGATTGATAGCATTTTGTAACAGCATAGACAAAACATATTTTTGAGCACATACAGCTTACAGAAAAAGTCTGATTTCATTTTGTTGTAAATCCATTGCAGTGCCATTGGCTTCAGAGTATTTTATTATATTTTTCAGGAAGAAAACAAAAGACAGATTTCCAAAGTACATTAATGGTCAGAAAAAATAGCATATGTGCCAACTATTTGAACACTGTGCTCCTGAGTTTTTTATGACATGCTGCAATGCTGTATGTACAAGGATTAGGCATATGTATCGGAATGCAGAGCTGGAATGCAAAGTATCCTATTAATCCCACCTAACCAGCCATGTAGCATCTAACTCTGATCCAAGTTAGTTCTCCAGGTACCCTCTACAAAAAGGGATCAGCACCTTTGCTAGGGGTGATTCTTTTCATCCTATGATATGTGGGACAGACAAGCCTGTGGAATACTCTGATCTTGTTCCATAGAAGAAAAACCTAGAAAGCTTTGCTAGACAGCTTGCAATAGATCAGATCATTAATACCCATAAAATAGCACTACCTTACAATACTCAAAGCTTTAGGCAGATGGGAATCAATAGGTTGGAGCTGATTAAAAGAATCCAGTCTGAGCAAAACATTAATGACATGAGGTTGAGCAGGAGGAGTAAACATCTGCAATACTCACTGTTTGGCATGCTCACTTCAATTGGATTCTCAAGACTCCACCAAAGTTGGAGTTGGAGTTGGAGTTGGATAGGTAGTAATGCAAATCATGTTAGAAAATTAAATTGAGAAGCAGACAATTAACAGTGGAATGGCAGAGTGTGTCACTGTAATAACGTACAAGTGCTAATGGCTTCTGAGCTATGAACGCCACCACAAAAGGTAGAAAACACTTGTGCTTACCTCATATATAGGTAGAAACCCAAATATTGCACCAGCCTCTTTGCTTGCAAACTCAAAAGTTTCCATATGTTGAAGCTGACCAAGGGAAGCCAAAGTCAGTACATTAGTAGCTGAAGACAAAAGGTAATGAAGACATTCTTACTACATTCTTACTACAACTGCAAGAGAAGTTTTATATTCCCATGACTTTTAAGGTTAAAACCAGGTAAAGATGGAAGAGCTCCACTGACATTCAATTAGAGTTGTAGAAAGTATATGTAATGAAATCTAACTCTCCTGGCTTCTGATTTCATAGGAACCCTGAAAGAACTATTGTATGCAACCAGGGATTCACTGTTATTCTAGTATTTTCACACATTCTTAAAGTAAACTTAGGATATATAGGTTTTCTGTTGAAGCAGAGGAAAATTCTAGGGCTTCTTTTACATGTTTAAACCAGTGAATCAGTTTGTGATATCTTCTAAACTGAAATTTGACAATGTGAAAAATGAGAATGAAGACCACAGACATTTCTTAGATCCCTCTGTTTTTGCATTTTTGTTCTAGCTTGTCCATTGAATGAGAAAGATATGTAGGGTTATTTATGGATAATTTTAAAATGAGAAATTCAATTTTATTTCCTATACTTTGCCCAGAACATAAATTTGTCATATACATTAGCTACCTTTTCAGGAGCCAGAGCTCTGAAAAACTTGAAGCTGTGAACTGCTTCGCCATGTTCAGCCTTTTCTAAATCTGAAGGTGATTCAGTCAGTGACTCCAACCTGTATGTACAAGACAGAAAAAATCTGAAGTTCCTAACAAAATGACAGTTATGAACACAATATTCACCTGTGACTCCAAAATTATTTTGAACTATGCTCCAAAATGAAATTATTTTGAAGTATAAGTGATTTCATATATTTTCAAATATAATTTATATTAGGACCTTTGTAGGTGTCAGAGAGTGCTTCACTAATATTCTGCCAATCCAGATATGGCTGTCACCTGTAGAGGCAGGAAATCTTAATATAAACAACATTTACAAGAGACATGTGCTAACTCTCTGATAATGGCTTTTCACTATTTCTTTCAGTTCTGACTAAAATATCTGAATGTGACTTTCATAACAAAGGTGTCCTCTGTCTGGTTTCCAAACTTAGTCATGAGAAGAAATTATCTGGAGTGTCTGTTAGTACAGATTAACAGTTGCCTTTATAATCAGAAAAATAAGTCAAGTCACACAAGCCAAGGAACTATGGGGGGAAACTAGGACCATTCTTCTATATGACTCTGTCTATCTGTTGGCATTTTTCAATCATTTTTCAAACTCCTGAGGTGCTTGTTTAAACTGTTTAAACAGTTTAAACTATGCTGCTCAGATGGGTTTGTGCCTCTTCAAGTACATGGACATTTGGGGAATATTTTCCCACAGCTTTCTCCTGGAGAAGCTGGCTGGTCACAGCTTGGCCGGGTGCACTGTTGGCTGGGTAAAAAACGACTGTACGGCCAGGCCCAGAGAATGGTGATGAATGGAGGTAAATCCAGCTGGCACCAAGTGGTGTTCTCCAGGGCTTCCTGATGGGCCCAGTTGTGTTTAGTATCTTTACTGATGATCTGGATGAGGAGGTTGAGTGCACCCTCAGTAAGTTCGCAGATCGCAGCAAGTTGGATGGGAATGTTGATCAGTGGAAATGCTGGACAGTGGGAAACCTCTGCAGAGGGACCTGGACAGACTGGACCAATGGGCCAAGGCCAATGGTAAGAAGTTCAATAAGGCCAGGTGCCAGGTCCTGCCCTTGGATCACAACAACCCCTGATAGTGCTACAGGCTGGGGGCAGGGTGGCTGGAAAGCTGCCTCATGGAAAAGGGCCTGGAGACACTGATCCACAGTGCCTGAACATGAGCCAGCTGTGCCCAGGTGGCCAAGAAGGACAATGGCACATAGTCACTAGTTCA